AAGTTGATACTCTGAAAAAGACGTGTAATAACATTCTCAATTTAGGGAGCGTTTCAGGGTAAATCTACAAGTTCCTCAATATAAAGATAAACTCTTCCTGCTCTCAGTGTTTTATGAATTCGATTTTTTATCACATGCCAGTGTGTGATAAACAGCAGACGGAGCTAACCACACAGTCAGGAAAACCTGCTGTTCACTGATGGTAATCAGCAACATAAGCCCTGAGACTAGAATTGATGAACCACATAAGGTCAGACGTGATTCCAGCAGACAGAAAGGCTGTCTACCTTCTACGGTGAGTGCCTAGGACGGGGCTCAAACCTCGGACCATTGGATTATAAGCACAATGGTTACAGCAACCAAACCACTGCGCCACCAACACCCCAGACTGGGACAACTGCATCATTAGGTATGTAAATTGAACTGAAAACTATGTTATGTGTGGCTATGCGCACAAATGATCGGTCGTCACACGTTTAGCGCACGATTATGGGTTTCGACTTCCAACATGATGGTTCACGGTCATTTTTACAGACAGGGACTGGCAATTATTCATGCTCGATGAGTGACAACAAAAACCAAACAAATATCATCAGATTAACATCAAGTACAAATTTCCTTTTTCTACCTACATTGAGCGCGACCCGTTTTATGTGCATTCAGATGTGCCGTGTTCCTAAGAGTACTGGGATTGCAACCAATTGATTAACTTCAGTGAGAACCATTTCAGAACTAAATGCATATATTCGGAGGAAACACAAAGGGTATAGAATAAGGCAGAACACAAATATGTATTTTACAGAAGAAGGTTGATTGGGTTACATGACAGAGTGATTAGGGGATCAACCAGTTGAAATGAATCAAGATTTGTTTGACTTATAAATACAAAATCGTGTGCAAGACTGTTTTCCGAATTTCTAATAGTTCCAGGTTAACGTTTGGTATATGAGACCCAGAAATGGTAACAATGCCTTCAGTAGTTTCTGTTTGAGTGTGTATTAGATTCACTGAATCCCGGGCGACCTCAAAGACAAAGAGGACAGAATAATACAGCTGGTATGGCACCCGATCCGTAACAATATGATCCACGCCATACTGTAATGTTTGTTTTTGTTAATTTAGGCCTTGGCATGTACATAACCTGAACCAAAAGTTTTTGAGGAAGTTGATTAGGCGTGGTTAAACGTTTCATGCCAATAGCTTCAGCAGTAGCAATCATACATACTCGGATAAGTGAGGATTCATTCAAAGGCCACTGGTAAAGAGGTGTAATTGTTTATTGACGTAACCGCACTAGTCAGTGTTTAGCGGGGTGATAGGATAAGATTTGACATCGCCCCTGATCCTACTTGAATTAATGACTCACGATCATCTGCATGGCTTTTTATGCAAATTTTTTTCGAATGATAGCAAGGCAATTATGTGTTGTATGAAGCTAATGTAGGATTTGATTTGTTTACATGAGAAATTCGTCGTATAAATGGGGCGTGATCTAAAAGGCTGGCAAATACAAGACAGGGGTTTCTACCTGGTTGGGTCTCATCAGCAGTGCGAATCCATCGACCCCAACTGGGGATAGAACCTGGGACCTCACAGGTAGAACGCACATATATATTAACCACTCGGCCACCGGGCAGTTGATCAAACTGTTTCTCATTTCGGATATACACGACAGCACAACCCATCTACGTGAGCTTGTTGCGAGTATCGATCCTTGCTTATCTCAGTATTGGTCTCCAGGGCTATGACTCGGTTGGGAACTTTAACATTGATATGTCAATAGTAATGCTGTGTTAGTCATCATTACACTGAACTGGAAGTTGTCATTGGACTCCACTATTATTTCCCAAGCTGTCGGTCTCTTTATACCGCAAGAGATTGCTTTGTGTTTCCTTTCACTACCGGAAAATCTTTTACTTTGTTGTATTGCATTGTTTAACTTTTCGCGAGTACTGAAGTTTATATTTCAATAAAAAAACTATACACGCCAACCGTCACACAGGAGACGTAGCGAGGACAAATTTTTACAGATATAGGGTGTAATTAAATTTTAGCAAACATTTATAGGAGATTGCGTTGTTCAGAATCGAGGGTATATGCAGGAATTGAGACGTCAACGTGTCGGTTTTTAGTGCAGTAGGTAGTTAGGGTCTGCAAGAATCCGTTCCGCAAAGGTATATAGCAATCTGAACGTTAAAAAACCAACTGATTCACGAAAAATGAAAAAAGACGCAGATTTTAAATCTTATTTAAGCAAACCAGGGAAAATAATGACAAACCACAAAAGTAAGATGGTAAAACACACTGGACTACAAAAGGTAAAAATAACTGATTAGGAAGCGCGAGAATTCGAGGTGGTAGGGGCCGCAGTTT